GTGGGAAACGCGTCCTATGAGGAGCGGGCGAGGGACCTGTGCCTGTTGAGTGTCGAGGGGGCTCAGGGGGCACCTCACGGCTCCCTGACRGTGACAGGAGGGCACAGTGAACTGAGACCGGACCTTTCTGCCCTGCCTGATCGGAGGGAAGGGCCTCAAGGGGTGGTTCAGATCAGATATTGGGTGTCGATATCTGGGACAGTTTGRGTGGTCAGGGATTGGAAGAGGTTGCCCAGCGAGGCAATGGAGCCACCATCCCTGGAGGTGCTTACGAGGCTGTGGGGCTGGGTGATGTGCTCTCGCGGTTTCAGCGGCCGGCAGGGCGGGCGGTCGGACCGAATGGACCCACAGGGCTGTGCCCGGTGCAGCCCCGGCGATTCCCCATGGCCGCGGAACCCCAGCGATCCCTCAGAGCCGCGGAACCCCAGCGATCCCTCAGAACCGCGGAACCCCAGCGATCCCTCAGAACCGCGGAACCCCAGCGATCCCTCAGAACCGCGGAACTCCAGCGATCCCTCAGAACCGCGGAACCCCGGCGATCCCTCAGAACCGCGGAACCCCGGCGCTCCCTCAGAACCGCGGAACTCCAGCGATCCCTCGGGGCCGCGGAACCCCAGCGATCCCTCAGAACCGAGGAACCCCAGCGATCCCTCAGAACCGCGGAACCCCGGCGCTCCCTCAGGCCCCGCGCGCTCCTTCACGCCGCCGCCATCGCCCCGCGCCTCCCGCCCGCCTCCCGCGCGCCGCGCACCACGTGACCCGCGGCCCCGCCCCCGCCCGCGCGCCGCCGCCGTGCGGGCACTGGAACGGCGCTTCCGCCATTTTCCCTGCGCCCGGCACGGAGTGAGCGGCGGGAGACGCCTCGCAGAGGTACCGGCCCGGGTATCTGCTCCGCTCCGCTCCGCTCCGCGCCTCCGCCGCCAGCGGGGCTCGCCTGGCTGCTCCCSAAAGCGCCGCGGGCGGGGGCGGCGGTCACCGTTAGCTCGCGGCGGGGATGGGCGGCGGGGAGGCTGCGCCTGAGGGAGCGTTGCGGCTGCGGGAGCCGAGGCGCGTGGCGGATTTTGGCCCCGGGGAGCGGGGCGGTGGCAGGGCCCGGGCCGYGCACGGCTCCGTGCCCGATGGAAGGATGGGCGGGATGTGAGGGGAAGCGAGCGGGGCTCCCGCGGCCCGAGGCTGGGGGGAGGCGGCGCTGCTCAGTCATGGTGGCTGATGGCGGGGAGGAGGCCGGGCCGGGGCGGACCCCGCTCGGGAATCCCGCAGCACTCGCCGCGGCCTGGCCCCAGCGGGCAGCGGCTCCCGGGGAGCGGSGGGTGCCGGTTCTGGCCGGGCCGGGAGGGCTCTCCCGCAGCGAGGGGCCGGGGTCGGCCGTGTCTGGCTCGGCCTGCGGAGGCCGCGGCTCGGGCGGGCCGCGCTGGGGCCCGGGAGGCGCCGGGCGGGAGGAGGAGCCGCCATTAGCGCGGGCTGTGCCGCCGCACGCGGGCGGGAGATGCCGATACCGCCGCACGCGGAGCGCGCCTGCCCGGGAACGGCCCCTTCCGGCCCCGCTCCGCTCCGATCCGCTCCGCGCTCACCGCTGCCATTTCCCCGCAGACACAGCATGGCCGCCCAGGGAGAGCCGCAAGTGCAGTTTAAGGTAAGCGACTGCCTCGCACGCTTTTTTKCCCCTTCATGAAAAGAGTAGCACGAGGGACTCTCGAGTGCCGACGTGGATGGTGGGTTTGGTTTTCAAGCACGGGTCTTTCCTTAAATAAGCAMTTTATTGTAGTATTGCGTACAACTCGTGCAAAAAGAGTCCGCCGAACTGTGCCAGTCTGTTCTATTTGTAGTTTAGTGTAATAAACTTTAATAAGTGTTTGCCTACAGAATGATTTTTAAATATCAGAAGTGGAGTTCATTTTACAAAGTGCTCGGAGTGAATTAGAATGGCGTTCTTTGTTGTGTGCTAATTATCGAACGTTTCAGAAGAGAAACATAGTCACAGTGCATTGTAGTTTTTACCTACAAGGACTAGATCAGCTTGAGCAGAGTTACAGCTTAACAGATTGGTTCCCAGTACAAGGAGTTGCTTCATGGGGAGTTCTGTCTTTTGTTTGCAGCACCTTGTAGGAACTAAGCTCTTTGTAGTTATAAATAGTATTTGTGCTAGAATGATTGATAAATGTCTCAAAATGCATTGCTCTTACTCTTTTCCTTGATCTGTCTACAGCTTGTTCTGGTTGGCGATGGTGGCACTGGTAAAACAACATTTGTAAAGCGTCACTTGACTGGTGAATTTGAAAAGAAGTATGTAGGTATGTCTGAAGAAACACTTGAGTTCTAATATCTTACAAGTCAAACTGCAATCCGTGATTTGCTAAATGTGGTGCTTTTTGTTATTTCCATAGCAACACTGGGTGTTGAAGTTCATCCTCTGGTGTTCCATACTAACAGAGGCCCTATTAAATTCAATGTCTGGGACACAGCYGGCCAGGAAAAGTTTGGTGGCCTGCGTGATGGCTATTACATCCAAGGTAAGATGTGTGTGCAGGTTCTGTACCTCTTACAGTTCACGTGGGCCCTGCTGGAAGCTGTCAGTGTGGCTGCAGTGATGTTACTGTGGGCTTTGGTATTAATGAAAGTGGTGCACCTTTAATGACCAGWTACTGCTGGTGAAATTTGAAAAAGTACAGATAGTTTTCCATACTTTGCTTAGCAAAGATCTGTCCCGTGTTACTTCATTCAACTGCGTATCTTTACATTTTTGTCAAGTTTTACTGAGTTTGAGAAATTGCTCTGGACAAGGGCACCCTGAGATGTGCACCACAGGCTCTCAGCCTACTTGGAAGCCTCATTAGGATGTCTGAGATTAGTTAAATAGGTATTAACTGATTCCTGTGAAATATCTGGGCMAATCCAAGTTGGCTTCTCTATCTTCTATATTCTCAAATGATATAACACTCCATGTTCCTCAATGAATTATTCAAACCAGCTGGTCTGAGATGGAGCATCCAGCACAGATGTCAGGTGACTTGTCATGGGCCAAATTCTGTGGATTTGTGCATTGAACTTGTTAACAGAACAGGAGCTGTCAGAATTGTGATACTGAGAGGGGAAGGTTAATGTAGATGCTTAAGCCTAATATGGGRTGTCTGTGGGTTCCTCTTCTCTATGCCCTCTTGTAAGCAGGCAGTTACTCCTGGTGTAACTTGTCCATCCTTCTCTTGCAGCTCAGTGTGCCATCATCATGTTTGATGTAACATCAAGGGTTACTTACAAGAATGTACCTAATTGGCATAGAGATCTGGTACGAGTATGTGAAAATATCCCTATAGTGTTGTGTGGCAACAAAGTGGATATTAAGGACAGAAAAGTCAAGGCAAAATCCATTGTCTTCCATAGAAAGAAGAATCTCCAGGTAAGGCAGTAGGAATGCAGTTGGTTGGGTGTGTTGAGAGCAGTTGGGTTTTGGACAGTAATTGAGTGCTCTGCCTTTATCATTGCATCTCTTGGCTCTTTAAACCAGAGTTSAGGGGAGGGGAGAGTGGTGATGTTAACAATGATCATCACTGGCCTGGAGCAGAAGCTGGGAGAAGTTCTTAAAGAACTTTTGTGCATTTGGCTTTAACTGTACAGAGTCTCACCTGATAACAGGATTGAGACTACAGTAGAACACATCATGGGAGAAAGATAGATGCACAAAGATGCACTGTTGCCTCCTGAAAGTTTCATCCTTGATGAGATTTGATACCTTTCAGTTCATAGTTTCTGCATGAAACTGTTTGTTTCTGGACACTTAGATTATAACTGCTTATGAAAATGCAAGCAAAAGTCATTCAGTCAAAAAAAGGCAGGTTAAAGAATTGATTGTGTGTTAATGTTGGTATGGCCTAAATAATTGGAGTGTTTTTTAATAATGTCTCGTGCACTTTTTTCAGTATTATGACATTTCAGCTAAGAGTAACTACAACTTTGAGAAGCCTTTCCTGTGGCTTGCTAGGAAGCTAATTGGAGATCCTAACTTGGAGTTTGTTGCCATGCCTGCGCTCGCACCTCCTGAAGTTGTGATGGACCCAGCCCTGGCAGCACAGTATGAGCAGGACTTACAGGTCAGTGGCAGAGGGCACAGAGGGCAAACAAACAAACAACTGCCTGCTAACTGCTGTCACACTCATGGGATATATAAACTGAAGAACAGGTCTAAAGTGTGACTTTGCTTTGTTGCAGATTGCTCAGACCACTGCACTGCCAGACGAGGATGATGATCTGTGAGGGATGAAGCTGGAGCCCAGCGTCAGAAGTCTAGTTTTATAGGCAACTGTCCTGTGATGTCAGTGGTGCAGCGTGTTTGCCACTTTATTATCTAGCTGAGCAGAACATGTGCTTAATCTTTGGGATGCTGAAAGAGATGAATGGGCTTCGGAGTGAATGTGGCAGTTTAAAAAAAAACAAACAAAACAAAATGAAAAAAAAAAAACCAAAACAAAAACCTTCATATTTTGGACCTGCATATTTAGCTGTTTTTTGGACTGCAATTACTTCCCCTTTTGAGTTTCAAATATAAGACTGCTGCAGTCACATCAGAGTGTTAAGTGGAAAATCTTGTTTCTGTCATTCCCATTCTTTTGTTTAGGTAATAAAGTTGTATTTCAAGTATCTCTAAGCAAGTGAACTTTGATGCATTGTTAGGAAAACTGTTCAAAGTGTCTTCTGTTCTTCATTTGAGGGTAATACTCGATTGTCTACTACTGCATTTCTCATTCTGTTTTCTTTCCTGCTTCTCATATTCTGCTCCTYTTGCTAATTCAGAGCTAACAGTTAACCTTTCCTTTTTTTCTTGACGCATAGAACTAAAGGCTCTGAGCAAAGCTGAACTAAGGGCCTGGCACAGCCCCGCTCCAGCAGTGAGTCCTTGTGTGCTGTACCTGGCTGRGTGTTCCAGCACACGAGGGCTGTTCTGCTGTGGGTAGCTCGAGAGCAAAGCCTCTAGTTCAGCTTGCACATGCTCCAATTGGATCCAGTCTCAATCCTCACTGTTCCTGTGATCTACAGTTCCCTTCAGAGCTCTGTATAGCCGCCAGAAGCTGAAGGCACCCAGGTCTGTTAGGCCACTTCAGCTGTCTTTGCATGGGACATCAGTAGAGCTATAGCTGGTTAAACAAATCTAAGCATCTTCAAAGTCACTAACTAAAAACAACCATGGTTTGAGCTAAAAAAGCTCTTACCTGCCCAACAATGTATTAACTAAAACCACAGTGATTTAAACATCTAGACTTTACTGTAACTGCACCAAGTTCTTAATTTGAAACTGGCTTATTACAGCACAAATGGTGGGAAATGTCAACTTTTAACACTACCTTGTAGAGATGAATCTTGGTCAATATTAGTACTGCTAGTAAGCAAAACTTAAGATTTTTTTTTTAGTAGTGTTTGAGTACATGAAGCCTTGAATTCTTCAGTTTTGTATTTTTGGTTTCTTAATAAAGTGGAGCATTTCATTTATTCCTTTTAACTTGCATGTTTGTCTGCATAACTTACTTGAATATTCAACTTTTGCTAGCTGTTAGCAAAAATTGGATTATGATTATTGTGCAATACTGCTGTAAAGGAGTCATTTTTAGTTAGTTCAGGTTGGGAATTCTTGGGGGGATGGGTTTTTTTTGGTTTGTTTTTTTTTTTTTAGCTATTCAGAAGCTGAGTTGTGTGTGTAAGACTTGAAGCTCCTGGATGAAAGTGAGGAATGTTGTACACTTGGTGTTTGTAAAGGGACAAACTCCCACTTTATGTTTCATTGAATCTTCTTGCTGCATACTCTTGCTTCAGCTCCCTGTTGTAGGTTCTTGCCTGCAGTAATCATACCTGTGCAGATCGTGGTTAATCCTGCTGGCTTGGCTGCTGCTGCTTTACTGGGTGGGATAACTTGTGTCTTCAAGCTCTCACTTCTGGAAATGTACTGCTTATTTAAAACACAGAATGGAGAAGTGTAGTTCTGCAGTATTGACACACTTCAAGAAGAAGAGGCAGCAGCACTGGAGTTGTGTCTGTACRGTTTCACAGTGTGTGAATGGTGTCATTTTAAACTCATCTACCTGACACAGATACTGACCTTAGTATGAATTCAGAACAGCTAAAGACTGGAACTGTTGGGAGCTTTGCTGTTCTCTTCAGTGCTACTCCTAAGTGCAGAAAAATCCAGCTCTGAAATAGGTAGGACTATTGCTGTACAGGAATCTTCAATTTGCAGTGCTTTGGGGGTGGAGTAAAGTCCACTTGCAGCATGACATTTGTTAGATTTATTCCCTAGGTTCAGTGTTGGCTTTTGATAATGCAGGTTGCCCTAAATGCGTGTGCAG